AGACGTGTGCTCTTCCGATCTCCCCCACGCGTCAAATCCCGTTAGCTCGCAATTACTTATATTCTTTTATATAAATTAAACGATAAGTCTATCATACCCCATTTATGAATATTTTATTTTCTTAATGCAAACGCTGTATATTTATTATTCTCATTTATCCCATCTCTATTAGATATTGTTGAAAAATATCAGCAAGAGAATTTTTACATAACGCTGTACTGGGTGTTGTCTACAAATATTATAATGGATAATATTATAATTGCGATTGATTATTATTAAACATATGTTTATTTTAAACTGCCTATAACATAACGCAATACAATAACTTTCCTTAAAACATTTAGCATTTAGAAATTTGAAAATTTATGTCGTAAATAAAAAAAAATCATTAATTTGTGCTTGTTTCGATAGCTGTATTATTATACAATAAGTATTATAAATATAAATACTACTTTTCAGATTTCTAAATATTATAAAATCAAGTCATTAACACATTAAACTTTATTATTAAAAATAGATTAGCTATACTTAAATGTACTTTTTATTATTATATTAGTAAATCTACGATCTTCTAACTAGGATTATATTTAACATTTCAAAAGTCTTCCTAAAGTAACTTCTTTACAACTTACTCGTTTGTACTCGCAATGTAATAATTAATGCGATCAAAGAAAGCGTCTGATACATACAAAAAAGTAACTTTAATATTTAGAAATCCACCAGTGCAACGTTCTTTCCGCAAGTTTAACAGCAAATCATTTATTGAACTTTGAATCTCTACATATTATAATTCTTACGAAGGTATGCACCAATAAATCGAATGGCATTCGAATGCTCTCGTGAGTTTTGTGTGTAAGGTTCAATTACCTTGCTTCGTGAAATCCCGATTATCGGCGCACCGGCGGATTAATATCTGGCGCGTGATCGAACCTAGTGCGTTTTAAGGTAATATAATGTTAGTCGCGTGACTGGCGCAAAAGTAGGCGACTGATAGGAACGGTAATTTCATACATGTATGTATATATATATATATTGCGGTTGATATCGCGGCGCTGACCTTTCCGCCGACGGAAAAATAGGAACCTTCGCTGCGTGTGCGAGGGAGACGGGATCAGAAATCACGTCGACCTGCGAACCGGCACGGCCCGGTGCGTGTGCGTGTCGTGAAATGGCTCCGCGAGTCACGAGCGTATAATGCAGTTTTCCCTTTGCACATTACGCTTGACCCTCCATCGGTCGCACATGCATCTGAGAGATATACGGCTGGACTTACGTTTTAACCGGATTTCGTTTGTATAACACGGCGGAGAAGTACAGGTAGAGTTTAAATTAATCTCCTCCGGCGAACAGTGTCGTTCTCCTGTATTGTAGTCATGAAGAGGATAATTTTCTCACGCACATATTTCGTCAAAAAGATTCGATGAAGTGTGCGCCATTATTAGACAATATATGTATGTACCTATATATTTGAAAGAAAAATTTCTCAAACGTCACTTTATCAGCGGTATAGAGCAGAAAGATATGATTTCTCTCGAATAAAACGAGTGACAAGTTATTTTAACACAATATACACGCGATAACTCAATTATCCGCGTCTCTCGTTTTCGATATAGCTGTATATAGGTCTCTTGGAAAGCTTTCGCGACTGCACGCGCGGATATATAATTTCTCAATATTTATCAGCAGACGCGTAAGTTGCCTTGCTCCAGTGTCGAACATCCTTCCTCGATCGAGTTAGAGTCCTAGATTATCAGAGAAGCGCGACCGGTGTTACGAGTCCTGATTGGACTTGCAAATGGCCAATCATAAGATTGATCGATATTATAAATGACTGCCGAATGAATCAATCTTATGATTGGCCATTCGACGCAATTTTTAATATTTTCTAGTACTTTTGCGATACTGCCATAAACCGGTCGCGCTTCTCTGATAATCTAGATCGAGTTAGCGTTGTGTGTTACGATGAGTCGGAGCCGGGGTGGCGCGTTAAAATAACTGCGCGCGTACCAATGTTTTACGCGAAAGAGAGAGAGAGAGAGAGAGAGAGAGAGAGAGAGAGAGAGAGAGAGAGAGAGAGAGAGAGAGATAAAGCGAGAGCTTCCCGCGCGGGGTCCTCTATAAGGAAGCGCGGCCCGCTACACGCAGCGAGCGGACAATGAGCGTGTGCCGCACTGGAAATGACATTTGAGCGGCTCGGAAGGAGCGAGGCAGCAGGCCTGCACCTCGTAAAGGAGGAGCGCGGACGACCGCGTCGAGGCAGGTGGGACAGGAGCTGAGAACTCGGCGACGACGACTGGCACGACTGGCGTAAGAAGTATCAGCTCGTTATTGCTACCTTACGTCGTGGCGACGCGCTTAAAGACCTCTGGCGCGACTCTTATACGACCGCGCGGCCCGTCAACTCCACTACGTATATCTGCAGACTGCAAATTTCCGCGTCACGTTACTTGTACGGAGTATAGCTTCTTAGGCTCGACAGACGCGTGAGCATTGTGTTTCGAAACCTCCTCCTCCCCCTCGTCGTTCATGATTCAGTTTATGTTTCGAGTACAAATTGCAAAAAAATGCTTGTAAATGTGATTTTCACTCATTTTCATGGAATCTCGCGAGGGAATCTCTGTTTGAAGATTTAAGAAGTATTATATTATAGACGAATTATCTTGTTCTTCTTATCTCATTTTATAACAATAAACTTATACTTCTTTATTTTTATCA